AAACATAAAAAACATAAATATAAACATAAAGTAACTTACGGGTGAGCGAACACCGCGCCAGAGGTTCAGACAGAACACAAACATACATAAAAAAACATCAAAGACATAAACATAAACATAAACATAAAGTAACTTACGGGTGAGCGAACACCGCGCCAGAGGTTCAGACAGAACACAGACATACATAAAGAACATAAAGTAATTTATGGGTGAGCAAACACCGCGCCAGAGGTTCAGACAGAACACAAACATACATAAAAAACATCAAAGACATAAACATAAACATAAACATAAACATAAAGTAACTTACGGGTGAGCGAACACCGCGCCAGAGGTTCAGACAGAACACAGACATACATAAAGAACATAAAGTAACTTATGGGTGAGCGAACACCGCGCCAGAGGTTCAGACAGAACACAAACATACATATAACGTAGATTACAGGTGAGCTAATACAGTAACTAAGGCACCTCCAACTATATGGGGAAAAAAAAAAAAAAAAAATTCTCAGGTCATAAAATCTCGTAGGTTTTATTGTGCATTAGATAGATGTGGAAAGCTTAAGGCTATCGCTCTCAATATTTCTAAAGCTTTTGATGAAGTTTAGCATGCTGGTCTTTTCCATAAGCTTACTTCTTATCAGCTAACATCTTAAAAGGGATTTCGAAGTGCTGAGACAAGTTGTGTCCATATTAAAGAGAATGATTTTAAAAAAATGTTTGCACATAATTTTTTCAACTAAAACAAATTAATAAAGGTATACCAAGAAAAACAAACTTTGTTGTTTTACTCAAAGCTTGCCGTCTCCATGTTAGCCAGTTCCTCAGTCTTTAAAATATACGCCGCAATCTACAGACTTTATAATTTGTTCAAGTACGTTTAATTCCAAAGAGTTTTACTAAATGATGTCTTTGTAGAATTTCGATAAGAAACCTAAAAATTCTTTTTTTTTTTAAAATTGTAGAATTTTTTTATTTTGATTACTAAAGAATTAGTTTAGTTACTTATTACTATATAAAAGCTTTTTTTTCATCATAAATTACTGTAGGATTTCTTTAGTTATTTTATTTTCTAAATTTTGCGAAGTTTGCCTTAAGAATATGAATAAAGTATTTATTGCTTTAAATTATCTTTGTGTTATATTTATTGTTATTAAATGATTATTATCCTTATTAAGATTCTGTTAAAAAATTATTTTGTATTATTTAACATTACCCAAGCTGCTGAGAGGGGCTTTTGATTTTTTCAAATTTTGACAAGCCACTGGTAGCAACTTTTGTGTATGCTTCACAATTTATCTTGTTTTGTACATAAATTTTCAATTTAGACGCATATAATTTGTTTGTTTTTAAGGTTTAATTAATTCTCTACATAATCAAGAACAAATAAGAGACATTGTGTTGTTATAAAAAGTTGACAAATCTTGAGTATAAAGTATAAGTCTCTTGTGCCACCTACTGAAATTCATTCTTGTGTTACTAGTTATTCAATTAGGTCTCACTGTTTTACTGTGACTGTTCCTAAGTGCTCCAAAAATTCTTATTTGTCTAGTTTTTTTCCTCAAACATCAGTTCTTTGGAATTCGTTCTCTTTATCATGTTTTCTTGATTCATATAGTTTGCAATCTTTCAAATTCGTTATCTTACTTTATAAGTCATCTTTCCTCTTCCAGTAACATCGAACTCTAATAGTATTTGCTTGCAGCCTTGTTGGAAGTGAAAGTGTTTTTCTTTAAAAAAAAAAGTTCACAAGATGTAGGTTATTTATTTTAACCCTAAAGTATCATTCCTGCTCATATATTTAATATGCACATTGATTTTGCTGACATTAGTAAGATGTTGATTGAGTTCAATATAACACCTTATTAAAGTATGTACGGTTTGATGTCACTTTATTACTATGGCTAACAACAGTACGCAAACAGCAGGTGTCTTAAGCAGTGATAATATTACAATAATTTCTAGTGAGTCTATAAAATGCAGATCAATAATATACTAACCTAATATTATTAGTTATATCAATGTATAATTGTAAATATTAGGATAATATTAATTATTTTAATATTTATATCAATAAACTCAGTGTTTTACTTATTAGGGTTCTAATAGCACATGAATGTTTCAAGCCGGACATGTGGTTTTTTATTTGTTTCACTAAGTGAGTGCTGCTAAAACTTTTTAAATTATAAAGATAATTTTATTCTGTAAAAAGATTGAAGAAACAAATAAAATTTGTCAGATTTTGACATTTAACAAAATAAATCTAACCTTTTTTGAATTTCCAATAACTGTGCAGATTTAATGATTTTTAACTTTTTTTATCAAAAATAATCTGATAACCCATATTTTTGTTAACTAAATGAACAAAAATCTATTCCTAATCACTATATCATCAATGACAAAGTTTTTAGTGGTTTCTTAAGACTATTATGCAATTAATACCTACAAATATATTATCATGGTAAGCTTGTGACTCAGCCTTCTTATTATCCTGAAGAAGAGCCCTCTAATGAGAGCCTATGTTAGTTTTGTATTTTTATTTTTTTTTACAATCATTTAACTCTATCTGCAATTGATTATAGTAAACATCAAAAACTCGCTCTTATAAAAGCAATTTTTTAAAAATATATATATAAGGACTTGCTATATTTTTACCCTGATATCTTAAACACTTATAGCTCTCTATATCACAGATAACACTCTTTTCAGATTCACCAATATTTTTAAAATAATGACCATCTTAGACACATACCACACTGCACCAAATCAGTATTACAGTCATATTCTGTAATTAAATACCTGTCTATCTTCACACAAAAATATCCCAAAGAACCTTTTTTTTTTAAAAAAAAAAAATACAACAGTTCATTTAATCAATATAAAAATTTGTCCGGGAAAAATAAAGTCTGCTTAGATGGGAATTCCACTAAGATCTGTGTTAAGTTTTTTGATCATTGTACATTTTTATAACACATCATGTTATAAAATGTACAATGATAAAAAAACTATTTAAAAAAATAAGGAAGTAGTCAAAAAAAAAAATTTGTATAAAAAAAAAAATTACTGAAAGTAAAGGAAGAACTCAAGAATTATTGGTGAAATTTAGCTAACAATTTCAACACAATTGAATTTATGATTGGAAGAATTAGGAAATTATATGATTATAGATCCTGAAAAAAATCCCAAGACGCGAACAAAGTTAAAAAATAAGACATAAGGTCTTGAAAAATTTGAGAAAAAATTTCTTGTTTGGCATGCTATTTGTGGCTGTGGTTTATTTAGTGCACCTTTTTTGATTATAGGCACTGTAAATACAAAAGTTTACATAGAAGACTGCTTGCGAAAGAGACTTTTTTAAGATCTCATAAACAGAATCATTTTTTTTAAGATCTCATAAACAGAATCATTTTTTAGAATCACTTTTTTTAAGATCTCATAAACAGAATCATTTTTTAGGCCGGATCAAGGATCTAGTCATTATTCAAAAGATACAATTTTATAGTACCCACAAAATGGATTAAAAGGAGATTGCAAAAAACATCGCAAGAAGCCAAAAGCAATGATTTTAAAAAAGAAAAGAAAAGGAAACTGCTTCTGCTAACAAAGTTAGTAATAAAATTGTGTGAGCAAAAAAGTTAAATGCAAAGTTCACCAGTTTCAGCATTTTTAATTTTTCTTTGAAATCACTGATTAATATAAATTTTTTTGGAGCTCCTAGATATCAAAAACCAAAAGAAAATAATTTTCGAATCTGCAGTTCTTTTTGGACTCTGCACCCTTGACCATGACTTAAGATGCATATTGGGAATAAATGAATCTGAAAAGGTGCACCAGGGATGATTAATGTGGTTTCAATATATAAAGCTTAAAAATGCAGATAAATAGTAATCAGTGTGTAGTAAGTATACAGTTTCTAAAGAAAAAGCCAGAAGTTAAATTGGTGAGACATTGTAGGTGACAAAAATATTTAGTTAATGAAAGAAAATGCTTGATATTACTTAAAAAACCTTTGATAGCATGATAACAACCCGTGATAGCATGATAACAACCCGTGATAGCATGATAACAACCCGTGATAGCATGATAACAACCCGTGATAGCATGATAACAACCCGTGATAGCATGATAACAACCCGTGATAGCATGATAACAACCCGTGATAGCATGATAACAACCTGTGATAGCATGATAACAACCCGTGATAGCATGATAACAACCTGTGATAGCATGATAACAACCTGTGATAGCATGATAACAACCCGTGATAGCATGATAACAACCTGTGATAACATGATAACAACCCGTGATAGCATGATAACAACCCGTGATAGCATGATAACAACCTGTGATAGCATGGAAACAAGCGCTAAAACAATAGTGATGTTGTTGTTGTTGTTAATGATAATGATGATAATGATGATGAAGATGATGATGATGAAGTTTATGATGATGATGATAATTTTAAAGTAGCAGTACTCTTCATTGTTTTTTTACTTTTAAAACTTGTTACTGAAAAGTTTAACATAATCTGATAGATTTTAATGTCGAAATCCTAAGTGCTCCAAAAACTCTTATTCGTCTAGTTTTTTTCCTCGAACATCATTTATTTGGAATTTGCTTTCTTTATTTTGCTTTCCTGATTTATATAATTTGCAATCTTTTAAGTAGTCTGTGAATCGTTGTCTTGTTCTATAAACTTCATCTTTCCCTTCCAATAACTTCCAACTCTAATAGTGGTTGCTTATAGCCTTGTTGGAAGCAAAGATGTTGAAAAAAAATTAAAGTATTTTTTTTTTTTTTTATATTAGAAGTCTTGTTATTATTAACATTATTATTTATCATTTATCTTTATTATGCTATTATTATTTTAATTACTATTGTTATTTTTGTTAATATAATTCTTATTAGATTATTTAAATTAGTTATGTATTTTATTTTTTTTGACCTTGAGTTTGTTAATAAATCTTGAATAAATATACTTAATCCAATGGTTGTTTTAGAACCATCATCTGGATCGTGGTTGTTTCATATTAAAGATCATCAGACCGTGAGTAAGTTAATATAGTAAAAAACTTTTCGAGTAAGTTAATATAGTAAAAAACTTTTTGAGTAAGTTAATTTAGTAAAAAACATATTCCTTGAGTAAAGTCTTTAAATTTATAGTTTGTGGTAAAAAACGGTTCTTAACAACCCCTTGATTTTAAAAAATGATAAAATCAAGTACATTTTATTTAAAAACTGTTAAATTTAATTAAGGTAAATAATTAAATTTTATGAAAGGAATAAAATAATGAAATGATCAATGACTATTCTTATTAGAAAACTGTTATTATTAGAAAAGCTAATAATATTTGAAGAGTACAGCGGAAAAAACAGCAGGGTCACGTTTTATTAGTTTAGAGATATTTGATTTTTAAGTTTTTCAATACCGTTTTTTAGTAACTATTTGATTACAAAGTAACTTTTTTAAAATTCACAATAATATCTGTTTTGTTAAGGTATTGAATAAATATCTATTAATGTTTGAAAAATAAAAGTTTTATCAATAAATATTTGAGGGTCAAAATAAACTATGCTCTTTTTTCCATTTCAAAATGCTCTGCAATTGAAAAAACATTGCAAAATCTTAATTTTTCATTTATATTTAATGAGAGTATCATAATAAAAATATTCTTTTTTTAAATTTTAATGCCAAGTGTGTGGTTCAAGTTTACAGTAAACAATGCAGAAGCTGACAAGTCATCCAGACTTTTTGAAAAATTACACATTAGCCATCTGTAAATTGAATTAAATTCTGCTATTTTTAAGTTTAGTCATTACAAATAAGTTTAACAATGTTTGAATCCTCGATTAACAAATTTAGATTTTCAGCTATTCTCAGATCACGTAAAGATAAAATTCTAAATTTTCTAAAAGTAAGTTATAGAAATCGAAAATCCAATGCACTGTGTTAAAGGTACCACATGCATAAATTTGTATTTTTGTTTACCATGTCACATTTACAAAAAAAACCTTCCCACTTAGCACTTGGCTAAGAAATAAATCTTCATTTTTGGCATAAAGAACCGGGTGTTATAGTGGGCTGTAGTGGTACTATATTGGGCCCTCTGACCTTTTATTCTTCTATCATTTTAAACATTAGCTAATTAGCTCCATTTGAAATTAGAACAACTAACATGAATTTCAAAACACTATAAAATAAACAAAACAATTTTTTTTTTCAAACAAAAAAATTTTTTAGTAAAAACTTTTAAATTTATTTAAAAACATCCTGGTCATTTTTGTTATCATCATATGGTAGTGAATCAAAAAAAACCAGATTTGTTTGTAAACTTTTTAAGTACCGGAAGATCCTTAAATTTATCAGTTGGTATACATAGTCTTTCAGTATATAAGTTTGAAGGGTTTTCTAATAATGATAGTTTTCTTTTACTTCTTACATTTCTACCAATAAATGTGTTTAAATATACGCTATTCCAAGAGTCTCTATAAGATACATTTCCAGGAGAGTTAACAGAAAAAAGCACTTCTTGAAGAGGTCTTGTAACTACAGGACACCTAGCTTTGTTGTGAGGATTTAAGAAATAATTTTGTCATAGTTTTGAACATGTCCTGAAAAACAGGTTTTGAACAGGTTCAAGTACATGAAAAGGAGTTTTTAAAGAACATTTTTAAATATCTTAAATTAATCAGAAGGTTAATTGACTTGAGGTTTGCAGTTAATAAGATCCACATCTTTGTTGCACTCCAAGTAGGAATGACCTCTTTCAGGAAAGGTAACTTTAATTGTTTCCAATCTTTTTTGATGTTGAACCATGTAATCCATAAACCTTAAGAGGGTATAATTTTTATTTTGACCAGTGCAAGAATCACAGAGCAAATCTATGTTTTTTACTAATGGACTTAAATGATGAATAAAAAAATCATACAGTATTGAAGTCACTTCATCTGCACCCTTTGTAACAGTTTCATTGTAACAATAGATAAAAACATCTTTTCTAGCCAACAAATAAATGTCAAAGGAAAACATTTTTTTTATATAATAAAAATCATCGTTAGAGTTGATTAGAACATTTAAATTTTTTCGATAGTCAAAAGCAATGGCTTTAAAACTTTGCTCTCAGCGCCTTGATTCTCGTTTTCTTATATAAAAAGTTTTTGATTTTTTTTTGGTGTAAATCTCTTTCTAACTTAAGTTTTTTAAGATTGATTTTCGAATCTTGTGCTTCAGGATATATTTTCATATATATATATATATATATATATATATATATATATATATATATATATATATATATATATATATATATATATATATATATATATATATATATATATATATATATATATATATATATATATATATATATATATATATATATTTTCATATATATATACACATATATATTTTCAGGTTGAGATATATTTTGAAGAAACATTAATTCTATTTTTCAGTTCGTCACACTTTAAACATGTATTGGTTCGAGAATAAACAAATGCAATATTAAACTTGCTGTTAAATAATGTCCTATAGGATTTATAACAAATTTTTACATTTGGGTGTAGAATCATAAACATGTTAATCATTTTATTTATATTCAGTTTTTCAGGTAAATAAATACATCTAGTTTTCTCTTGAGAATAGCGAGACTGCCTTCCTCTGAATGATGAAATATGGTTTATTATTTTATTACATACATCATCTGTAATTTTATGTGGTCTTGTAGAATGTTTTTCTCACATATCTATGGCCTACCTAAAATTATTGTGTTAAGTTTATAAATTTATTTATGTCATTTATTAAGTCATTTATTAATAGATTCTAAAATATTATTTTTAACCATTAATGTCTTTTTCAACTATCATAACTATTATGCTTCTTAATAAATTTCTTATAATATAAAACAATGTACCTGTTTTGTTTTTTTAATTTCTTATAATATAAAATTATAATTTAATTTCTTATAATATAAAACAATGTACCTGTAGTTGATAGACTTCTTTTTATTGTTTCAAATCTTTTTGATCCCAAATATAGAAAGGAATGCTTTGAAACACACTTGAACTAATTGACAGTTAGTGTTATTATTAAACAATTTATATTTGTAGCTAAAACTATTATTTCTACTTGTCTTAGATTTATGTGGTCTTTTTCTATTTATATTATTTACTGTTATAAGTCCTGCCAGAAATGAATCTTTTCTTTGCTTGTTATTGAATTAAATGATTAAAAGAAACTCTGTTTTTCTCATTTACAACTTCAAAATGTTTAAATCTGATGCAATTACAGTTTAGACATGTTTTATAAGTTTAAAGTTTTTTTTTTCTGAATTTGTGATGATCTTCCTTTAGCTTTTCTTTTTTTGCTTTATTAATAACTTCAATAGGTTCATCATAATCAGCCATCTTTATCAAGTTATGTTTATTTTTAAAACAAATCATTTGATGCCAAGATCACGTGACTATGAATATTTCATGAGTATGAATATTTGATGTAGTTTGATAATTAATGAATATTTGATGTACTTTGTTAATTTGATGTATGAATATTTGATGCTATGAATATTTGTGACTTTATTTATTTTTTTGTTTTATTGTAAACAAAATACAATGGAATTTTATTGTAAATTCCATTGTTCCTGGTTTGTTCTTTTTCATTTTTCTTATGGAAAGAAATATTTTTTTTATTTTGATTTATCACTCAAGATATAATTCAAAATGTTATCTATAAGACCAGCATAATACTTTCAAAAAATGAAAATGTGCCATTTTTTCCCCTGGATTCTTCATTTATGTCTAACTTTTAATTTGTTTAATTTTTTATGTTTTTTTTGTTTTTAATTGATTTAAGTCAATTAATAATTATTTATCTTGTTGTGATTTTTCTTTTCATTTTTTTAAAAAAATTTTTATAGAGAGTTTATTTGAAAAATCTTTAAATGTAACTTTGAATGATATTCCATCGAATGTTGTGAAATTGCTTCAGAAAGCACATAATAACAGCAAAATAAACAAAAATACTGATATATGCAAAATTGATTCAGATTTACTTGAAAAATTATTGCCATTCCAAAGAGAAGGAGTAGTGTAGGTATTTATTATATAACTATTTAAAATAATATTTATTGTGTATACTTATATATTACCGGGAATTAACTGTATATATATATATATATATATATATATATATATATATATATATATATATATATATATATATATATATATATATATATATATATATATATATATATATATATATATATATAGTTAATTCAATATCAATGAACTGATTAGGGGTCATCCATAAAGAGGGGAGGCATAATTTTGTGACAATTTGTGACAAGGGGGAGGGGTTGATAAATGTGACGTCACAAATAATTTTTATCATATTTTTAACATATTTACTCATTCAATTAAGTGTTTCAGATTGTCAAAAATTTTACTCACACTTCTCTTGTTATGCGTATCGTCGTATTTTAAATAGTTTAAAAAGTTTGCAAAAACTGCCTTCATGTTTCTGAAGACTTATAAAATTAAGAAGGTTTTAAGTTTTAATTTAAGTTTGAAATTTTAAATAGAGGGTTTAAATAAGTAAATAAAACATATGATGACATATTATCTTTTATATTATTTATTTTTTTGAATCTTATGACATTATATAAACACTAGAGTTTTAGTTACCTTTACATTTAAGCAAGAATATATAACTAAATAAGTATATAATATGATAACTAAGCTAAATAGACTTGCTCATGCTTTAAATAGTTAATAGGAAACACAAATTATTATCAAATAAAAGTGTAAATAGGATAGTAGCTAGTTAGCGGTCAGTATAACTAAGTTAGTAGTAATTTATATTATGGCATAAATGCAATATTTTTAATTTCTCTAAATGAGTGCATATGTGTTCCAGTTCCATCAAAAACATGAGGTTCAAATAAAAGAACTATTTTTATTTTATTTTATTATGGCGATCTTTCCCAGAAAATTAAGGTTAAATTAAGTCTTTTTTATTCTGTTAAATAGCTATTACTATGTTGTTAGAATGTTGAAAATTCTGTAATGATTTTTTTTTTAGAGGGGGGGGGGGAGAGAGAAATATGTGACATACTTTTAAGGGGGTAGCAGAATTATGTGACAGTTTGTGACAATAGGGGCAGGGAGGGGGTTAGAAATTGAAAAAAATAGTGTGACATACTTTATGGACTACCCCTTAAACTCTGCATTAAACATAACTGATGGCCTGATGGCATTAAACTAAATTAAAATATTTTTCACTTCTAATTTTAGCATTTATAATACTTTCATTGAAACATTAAATTGGTAATTATTAGGAATATATATATATATATATATATATATATATATATATATATATATATATATATATATATATATATATATATATATATATATATATATATATATATATATATATATTTATATATATATATATATATATATATATATATATATATATATATATATATATATATATATATATATATATATATATATATATATATATATATATATATATATATATATATATATATATATATATATATATATATATATATATATATATATATAGAGATAGATAGATAGATAGGTAGATAGATAAATAGATAGATAGGTAGATAGATAAGGAGAGAGAGAGTAATTTTTACATTTTTGTAGCGGTTTGTTTACATTTTTTTATTTGTATGAATGACTGTTGATTGCCTTTGGACATAAAACTTTCTAGGTTCTAGGAAAATAATTTGGGTGACAATACCACATGTGCCAGTACCTGCCATAAGGAAATTTGGCAGAAACGTTGTCACATGTAGGCATTTTTTTGCAAAAAACAATATTTTCTCTACCAAAAAAAAAAAAAAAAAAGTCCTCAATTTCTGAATTTGGGTGGCGCCCGAATGTGGCCCAAATATGTTTATTGCTGTCGAAAAGGATCTAAAATAGCCCTTGATATATAAAGTCTTCTCTGTTTGAAATTTAATGCCAGCACACAAGAAAGCGCTAACCAGGTGGTCATTTCTAGGTTGGCGTACGCACTTTAAAAAATTTTTTTTTTTTGCTATTTAAATTAAAATAAAAACAAAGAAATTGATGTTTTGAGCAAATACTAGGTGGATAATTAAAAACAACCTGGCAAAAAAAAAACATTTTGATTAAATTCTAGATTAAATTAATAGATTTGATTAAGTTCAAAAATAATTAAAATATAAATGACACAAAGTAAAAAACGTTTTTTTATAAATAAAAACAGAAAGACAACTGTTTTATTTAAATTCTAAATGAAAGAAATAAAAAAAATCCTGGCTACACAATTGTTTTATTAAATTCTAGATAAAATAATTAAAACCAAACTGGCAAAAAAGTAAATAAGGTTTTATATAAATATTAAACAAAATATTTAAAATAAAACAAAAAGACAAATGTTTTATTTAATTTCTAAATGCCTGCTTTGGTAGTTGATGCTAATTTGGTCAACGAGTTTAAAAATAATTATAACAAATGGACTTATTCTCTTCTGAGTCTACTATAGCTGGGTGTCCTTAAACACTCGCTTATAGAAGTAAAACTTAGATGCTCAGCTTATAGAAAACTATAAAAAAATTACTATAATAATAAATGGAATAATAAAAAAATCCAGCAAAACAAATGTTTTGTTTATATATATATATATATATATATATATATATATATATATATATATATATATATATATATATATATATATATATATATATATATATATATATATATATATAAAGTATTTATATATATATATATATAAAGTATTTATATATATATATATATATATATATATATATATATATATATATATATATATATATATATATATATATATATATATATATATATATATATATAAAAATAGAAGTTAAAATTTTGAAGTAAATATTAGAAAAGCTTTGGAGTTTATGATTTTAATATTCTGGAAAAAGTAAAAAATTGTCCATTGGTTTTTAAATATTTTGTATGTGAAGTTACCAAAGTATTGCATCACCTGCTCAATTTTTTAGCTTTTACGATTCATTTTAATTCATTTTAAAGTTTTATAATTTTAAAGTACAGTTTAAAAACTTTTTTTTGCTAAATAAAAACAGCTATTTACAACATATTTAATTTATGCAATATTATAATTAATGCAATGCAGCCATATATTGCAAGTTATTCATTATTTTTCAAAGTTGTTTTCTTTTTTGTGCAAAATAATTTTTAGTTCAAGAAAACTTCTTTTAGTAATAAAATTTCTCAGGTTTGGAATTGAACACAATGGACGCGTTTTGATAGCTGATGATATGGGCTTGGGAAAGACTGTACAAGCTATAGCTATATGTTCATACTACAGAGATAAATGGCCTGTGCTAATTATTTGTCCTTCTTCAGTAAAAATGTCATGGAAACAGGTTGGTATAAAGAGTTTAATAAATTTTATAAATGAAATAAAAATAGTCATAAAAGTAATAGATAATAAAATAATTTTAGTTAAGTTTTTATAAAATTTTGAAATCGTATCATTTTTTTTATATAAAACACATTTCATTATATATCATATATATATATATATATATATATATATATATATATATATATATATATATATATATATATATATATATATATATATATATATATATATATATATATATATATATATATATATATATATATATATATATATAAAAAATTAGCTCAAAAAAATAAAATTAATTAAAAAAATACCAAGCTAACCAATAGAACTAATTTGTGCATTATAATGATTTGTTATCAACAAAACTTATCATTAAAAGATCAAATTTTTAGCCACTTTTTATTGAAACCATACTTCTTTGTTTTATGCACACAAAAAAAAAATTAGTTTGTTATTTTTCAATTTTATTGATTTGAAACAATAAAATCACAAATTTTTTGATTTTAAATAAAGATATTTATTATTGTTAAAATATTTTTTTTACTATTTTGGTTTTTATTTAAACAAATCTTTAAACAAAGTCAAAAATAAATGTTTCTATCAGTTGTTTTTCAAACATAAATAAAACAGATATTTAGCTAACATATTTTTCTTTATGAAAAATGAAATTTTATTATTTTAGTATCGAAATTTCGCGTCGCAGATTTATTCATGTGTGATGATGATATTTTAACAATGCAAAAAATTTAATAGCTTTTTAATTAGATGAGAGCCGCTAATTACTGCATATAAATTTATGCTAAATAGATTGATTCCTGTTATCACCACATTTCTGTTATCATTTAAGTCCATTCAAAAAATACAAAGCATTTAAACTTCAATGCTTACATCTTAGAAATCTTTAAGTATGCTCATATTACCAAGGTGTTCATATTACTCTAATCTACCCTATATATATATATATATATATATATATATATATATATATATATATATATATATATATATATATATATATATATATATATATATATATATATATATATATATATATATATATATATATATATATATACATACATATATATATATATATAATATATATATATATATATATATATACATACATATATATATATATATACATATATATATATATATATATATATATATATATATATATATATATATATATATATATATATATATATATATATATATACATATATATATATATATATATATATATATATATATATATATATATATATATATATATATATTTATATATATATACATATATATATATATATATATACATATATATATATATATATATATATATATATATTTATATATATATATATATATACATATATATATATATATATATATATATATATATATATATATATACATATATATATATATATATTTACATATATGTATATATGTGTATATATATATATATATACATATATGTATGTATATACATACATATAAATGTGTGGCATTAGACTATACTAGATGCACGCTGATGAAGACAAAATATATTAAGAAAATGCATCCTTAGATACATATAGTTTGTTGAGTACATGTATATATGTATATATGTATGTATAAATGAATGTATTGAAATTAAAGCAATAATGTCAAAAATATTAAAAAATAGCTGGAAAATATAGAACTGGAATATAGAAAATGGTTGGAAATTTCAGCACATAGATTTACTTAGGATTTGTATTTAGTCATGCAGCACATATATTTGTGAAATATAAAGTTTTTTTATTAGTATTTAAAGTTTTAATTTTCTCTTTGCTTTTTTCTTGGAGCATTTTAGTGATTGGCTTCCTTCATTAACAGAAGAAGAGATTAACATTGTTAGCACAGGAAAAGAAAATCCTTGCAAAGGTCAAGTTAACATCATTAGTTATGATCTAGCTTCAAAGTTATCTAAAGCTCTTCTCTCACAAAAGTTTGATATCATTGTTATGGTACATTTATATTTTTTTGTAGTCTATTATAGTAAAATTATGGTTTATTGTTTTAAAAAGTGCATTACAATAATATATCATTCAGTACTTGTCTCGTAGCCTTGTAAGAATTGATTTTTTTTTAAAAAACTATAAATAATTTTCATAAAATTTCTATTTGCACCAGTTTCAAGTCTAGCCTCATTTTGTTTCTTGGTTTTCATCTTCTTTTGTAGCTGCTATGTTCTTCTTCACTATGTTCTCTTGTGATTGGTTAGCTGCTATGTTTTGTAGCTACAATTGTAGTTGTTTTTTCCTCTTTTTCACAAGAACAACTCAATTAAGAACAAACACCTTTTTATTATTGCAAGAAATCAATGTAAAATAGTATTATCTGATGCTAATCTCCATCATTCTAAGTTTACTAAATCTCAAATCAAACTATTTGCAAAGAACTTTTCCTTTAAACCAACTCTTAAATCTAATGACCATACTCTTCCTGTCATTCCAGTCAAATAGGCTAACTCATTGTCATACGCTCAACTATTAGTCATTCCAATCACTTTCACTTTGGTTGCTAAAATTTTTCTTGTTTTAATTTTGCTTTTGGTTCAGACAACATTCCTAAATTTTATTTTCCTGCTTATTGGAAAATACATCTGTGGTTCTAATTTTTACAAACTCTGATGAACAGTATGACCCCTCCAACTATTGTCCATTCTTTTTAATGTATATGTCCCTAAAACTTATAAACTAACATCTGAAAACTTTTATTTGTTAATTTTTTTTCCTAGCGCTTCTGTGCTTTGGAACTCTCTCCCATCTTTATGTTTTCCTGATTCATATAATCTCTAACTTTTTTAGTCTTACTTTATAACCCTATGTTTTTTAGTATTTCCCAACTTAATAGTGGTTGCTTGCAGTCTTGTTGGTAGTGAATTAGTTGTTGTTGTTTTTTAAAAAAGAAGATTTTAAAAGTAAACAGACCTTAATTTGTTGTATGAAACATCTAACTTTTTTTGTGTGTGTGCATGTTATGTGTATGTGTAAATTAGCCAAAAAATATGCCTGAAGTGCAAAGCATTTTCCATATACTTATAAATGCGTCAAATGCTTATTTTGATTGCTAGTGCTTGATTTTTTAAATTTAAAGCAAGGATCTTTTCTTTTGCCATTCTGACTTATTATATAATACTTTTTCTTTTTTCTCCTGGTGCGTTGTTTGTAAAATATTCTTATTCTCTAATAAACTTACTTATTCAATTTTGTTCTGGCTTTAGATTTGATTTTTTTTTTAATTTGTTGTATGCAGAGGTATGTATATGTTGTATGTAGAGGATAGAAATGCAAGTCCATTTAAATGAAAAAATTTATTTTTAAGGATGAATCTCACTTTCTTAAAAGTCATAATGCATCACGTACCAAAAATATTTTCCCTTTGCTGCAGGTAAATATTGTTTTAAATCATAGGTAGTAGAAGCAAATCTGGTCAATATTTTTGTTAAATTATAGGTAATAGAAGCAGATCTGGTCAATATCTTTGTTAAGTTTAATATTCTGTTACATTTAGATCATGAGATCAATCTAGATGCAAAACTTACAAACTTGTATAATGTGCAGCATTTTTTGATGTTTTGAGCTAAATTCCATACATAGAACAAACTCCAAACATATATATGCTTATACTTATATCAAATAAGGATGATTTGATAAAATTTGTGGTAATTGGAGCCTAGGAATAAAAAAAACCTAAATTTCTGGCCACAAACATGACATTTGATAAAATTGATACAATTTTTTTTACTTTTCTCAACTAAATTTATATTCATCGGCAAATTTTAAATATAACACATAAATCTTTTATCCTTTGAAAATTATGACCTTATCAAATTAGTAACCCTCTCAAATTGAGGGGGTTCAAATTTTACATGGTCATAATATGTTACCATGGTCACTATGTAAAATTTGAATACTAAAAGATTATCAAATTAAAATTTATCAATGAAATAAATTTAGTTAAAAGTAGTAAATAGAATAATTTATCAACTTGTTGCTCTCTTAAGGGCAGTTGTGGCCAAAAGTTTATTGTTTTTTGTTCCCAGCCTTCAGTTATAGAATTTTTTTGCAAAGCATCCTTATTTTACATAAGTAAAAACATGTAAATGCTTGCATTTTTTTCCATGTCTGAAAGTTAGTTCAAACATCAAAAAATGCTGCATTTGCACCTAGTGTTTTAGTGTATTTTATAACTAGCACTTGGGGTTGCTAAAATAATTTACATATTACATACATTATGTGCTCATAAAACAGCTTCTTTAAAACTAGATTTTTATAGCATGTTAGGAAACACTGTTTTTTCCCAAGTTGTTAAGTTTCTTGTTCTTTTAATTAAAATGGAGTATATTCCAAATCCAAATCAAAGAATGAAATTTTTCATTGGTTGAAAAAATTTACTTACATGTTATGTAAATACCAGTTAAAGATTTAAAAGGTTGAATGTAAAAATTTACAATAGTCTTTACCAATGATTAAGAATTAGCTTAATTTTTCTTCATTTGAAGTTAAGTATTTAAATAATGAAAAGATAAATATCACACACAGTCCAAACAAAGATGTCACAAGCAGTTCAAGTTATACATTTTATAAATATTTACATACAATACAAAAACTTCAAGATGTGCAGAGAAATAATTGTTTAAAAATACAAATAAAAAGCGCTAAAGTTATTTGCAGTACCATTCACCTCACTAAGTGCAAAGTTATTTGCCATGTTTGTTGTTTTTACACAATCAAGTTTAGGACAATATTAATTTTGAGATTTCAAAATGGCATTTTTTATGTATTTCTATTATTATATATTTTGATTTTTATAAATTATAATAGGAAAAAATATTTTATAATATAATGAAAACTTTAAAAAATAAGGTTTCAAATTGAACTTTCTAAAAGCCCTTTAAATCAAACTTAGTTAATTTGATTTACAGTTTTGCAAGCTCTTACTTGTTTTAAAAAAAGTATTACTATAATAAGAGTGGAATTGGTTGTCTCACTTTTTTTTATCTTTGACTTGTATTTTAATAATTGGTCTATTTTTTAATATTTTTTACTCTATGTTTTATTATATTATTAGTATATTGTTTATATTATATATACATTGTTATTAAATATTTTTTAAGTAGTTTTAAAAGTCAAAAGCAAAGATAATCTATATAACATGATGTACATATTTTTTAAATATCATACAACTTTCGATATGATAAAAGTATTTTATTTAGTTGAAGTACATGTTTCAAAAGAAATTGTGGCAAGTTCTACATGCACTGTTCATAAGCACATAAATCACTATGAACTTTTTTCAAAATTTTTTAAAAACTTTTTCTAACAAAAATGTAAAGATTGGCAGTCTAATTAAGAGCATGGTATGGGTCATAATGTTACTATCAATTTTTATTTTTTTTAACCCTGTCAATTGCAAGTCTTGACATGGTTTAAATCTGCTTCTGATCTATAAAGAATTTATCTATAAAGTAACATTAGGTTTAAATTTAAAATAGAAGTAGCAAATTATTGGCTCCTACACGGAGATTTAAAATAGTTAAAATTAAATCGCTTTATCAGACTTGCCATCTGGTGTTTTTTTAAGCCAGATTTCTTAAATCTGGTTTGTTTTTTTATCGTTTGGCTTGAAACTTTTGTTTTGGTTTATTTTAGAAAATCTGGTTAAAATCTGGTTTATTTTAAAGTCTTTGGTCTTTTTTTGTTTTCTCTGATATGTTTTTTAAAATCTGGTTTAATTCTCGTTTATTTAATAATAAATCAATTTAATTAAGTTTTTGTTTCATGAAAAAAGTTAATTTGAGGGAAAGAAAGATTTTGATTTTTTCATTTTATAGAAGAACAATCAAGTTTAAAATAAATGGAAGAAATGCTTACATTAAAATCTTAAAACGTTAAAAACTTTTACTTGAAATGTAATTAAAATGTTGTTTTTATCCCTTAATTGCCAAAAATATAAAAAAATCCTTACATTCAAAACTACATTTTTTTGTGAAACTACTGCCTGTAACGAATGTTGTTTCTCAAGTTGAAAAGGCTACAGTTTCATCTTATGGATGCAAAAAGTGAAGAAATTGAAAATCATTACAGAAATTGACATTGCATCATTAGAGAATTAGGCCTCTGCAATATAGATGCTTACTGCCATGGCTGTCTATGTGTTCTGTTTCTAACTATTTTGTTGAGTCTTCTCGTCTGCATATAAATCAGACTAAGAAAATATCAAACCAAGCCTTGCATGCAGTTATTTGGATCAAATCATATTTAATAAGGCAAAATATTTTTTACTAGGACTTGGAAATAATTGAGTCAATTATTGCAAAGGTTTGAAAAGAAATCTATATCCATATGCAAGCGAAAAAAATTAATATATTTTACAGGTTGATAGCGTCGGATTTTGTATAGGTGTTTGGGATGGAACTACTTTCCCCACGCCACTTTGAAGGCTGGACGGGCGTCCCATTAAACATTCACTAAGTCATTCTTCTCCTCTTCCCTCACTCTCTTACAAATTAAATTTTAATATTCAAAGATGAAATTTTTGGATAAAAAAGCATTTTTTCAAAATGTATATTATAAACAAGGCTTTAAAACCAAAAATTATGATTTTTTTTTTTTTTTTTGGTCTTGTTTATTTTTGTTTCATTTTTGGCTTGTGCCCAAAAAAAAACCTGGCAACCCTGCGCCTTATGTTGAATGAAAATATTTCGCGCAATAGAGCAAATGATCTCATACTTGTTTTTGAAAGTTAAACTTATCGTGACATATTTTATTGCTAACTCATGCTAAAAACATTTATTCTATATTTTTAAGAATAGCCACAAAAAAATAATAAATAAAAGAATCTAAAAAATTACCAAAAAAAAAAAAATTAAAAATTTTTTTTTAAGAAAAAACTAAATTTTGTGGAAATGAAGTTATCATAAAAGTTAAAATAAGTTGAAAACTTTGCATTATAGATTTGATTAAAGAAAAATTGCTTAAACTCAAATATCTGTCTAATTTTAATGTCTTATATTTTTCAAGCATTTTCAAGTTTTCATACATTTTTCAAATCATTCATATCGCTCTCCTGAACCAAATGTTCTGACTTTATAACAAAAATTACATACATTTATGCTGTTATTCCTTGAACAAAGAATGTTTATTTAAAAATACTTATCTGGTCTAAATTTTGGTTAAAGAATAATAAGAATTTAATACTAATTTTAATACTACAGATAAAAAAAAATCCAGTTTACATTAAAGTATGTAGGTTTAGGTTGATTGACAGTAATGAATAATAATTTCCGTTTGTTAATTAATAAAGCTTGAATCTGCTTGTAATAAATTGTAATCTCCTATTCAATTGAAATTTTTTTTTTTTTACCAAAGTCCAAGAATACAAATTAGTACAAATTTATATATTCGTTATGTAAATATATATTATGTAAATATAAATTTTATGATTTTAATTATGCTGTTGAAGAATTTATTTCAAATCAAATAAAGAAAAACATTTTATCCTTTTTTTGCAGCTTTTTTTTAGCAAACTTTATTTTATGATTAAACATAAAATAACATTTTAAAAACATGTCACATTAAGTGACATGTTTTTCTATGTTTTTGACAGGATAACTGAGAACATAGGTAGCAGGATAACTGAGAACATAGGTAGCCAGACTAGAGTTAAGTTAAATGAAAATTTTTACTAGCTGAAAAAAATGTAATTCTTTTAAAAGTGATATGTTTTAGGCTTCGAAGCATGTTATTTTGTTATCTGGTACTCCTGCTCTATCTCGTCCTAAAGAATTGTTTACACAGATATCTGCACTTGATCAAAAACTTTTTGGTAGTTTTCACAGTTTCAGATTACGATATTGTAATGCAAAAGAAGTAAGTTTAATTATTTTAACTTAATGCAAATAAGATATTTAGGTGAATTGCAAATTCCAAATGAGATATTTAGGTAAAGTAGAATTATTACTAACAGTCAAAGGACTTTTTAAGTAAAGCAAATTAAGTTGACATTAAAGTCTTTTTTTTGTAATTTTGATGTGGAGAGCATGAGCACTTTTGTGTTAACATCTTCCTGGCAAAGTATATTTGATAGGAATATGTTTATGTTGGTAACAGCATGCTGAGGGACTTGATTAGTTGGAAAAATGTAATACTGTTTGTGTTAGTTTTTCTATTGGTTGGAATTGACAGTTCCTTTTTTTTTTTACCAATCAATAAAGCAGTTTTTAATCCTCACCTTTACATTTACATACATAAGTGATCACAGAAATAGCACATCTAACGTTTCATTAAAGTTAATATAGTTTCTCTTTTTATTAGGAAAATTGAAAAAATTAGTTAGTAATTTCTATTTATTAACTATAAACAATAAGATAAAAAATCATTTTTTAACTGAACTTTAACTATAATTATTAAAAAATTTACTAAATACTACGAAAAGTTGTGATCATAAAAATGACACAGCAAACCAAAAAATATTATAATTTCTTGATCAGATTCAGATTTGGACTTTATGGTTGCCATGGTTGCCATTCTAAAACATTCTTTTTATTTCCTTCAAACCAAGATTTTACAGACTTTGTAGTATGCTTTGGGTCATTGTTGTGGATTAAAATCAAAGTAACAGGTAGGTTATCAGCATATGGCTTCATTACACTTTTTAATATATCTTTGTATTTGTATTGATTAATTTATCAAAACTCATCTCCATCAATTTTGACCAGTGGACTAATACCATGCCAGCACACAGTTCACCAAATTTTTATATTACCCCCACCAAGCTTCATTGTTTTTAGAGTACACAAAGGATTGTTTTCTTGCCTCATAGGGCATCTAACATACTCTCCCATTAAACCACAAGCAATTAAATTTGAATTTATCAGTTCATAAAATATTTTTCTAAAAGGAAACATTGTTAGTTGGAACCATTTTTGTAAATCACTTTAAAATCGCATTATTCGATTTCCTTTTGAAACAAGGGGTTTCTTCTTTGCTATACAGCCTCAGACAGCTTTTTGTAAACGACAATGAATAGTTGGGGTTGACACAACTACATGATACTGTTCTTCAATTATTTTTTTTATTATTAAAAGTTAAAAAAGAATCTTTTTTAGATATCCTAACAATTTGAGGATCAATATTAGTTTCTCTTAGTGGCGGCTCTCAAATTTTATCATCGGTTGTATTGTATTTTATAATATGTTTATAACATTTATGACTGGTTTAAACTTATTTTCTAGAACACCCTAATTGATGCAAAGTTTGAGAAATGTTAAGTCCATTCGATATCATACTTAAAAATTTTTTTCTGCAGAGCAATGTTTCTTTTGCCCCATGTTCAGTTACTAGAGAAAAGTTAAGTATACATTACAAATAATATTTATGATCAGATACTTGAAGAAAGTTAAATATACATTACAAATAATATTTAGGATGTATTGTTTCAGTACTCACTTATGAGTTTTATCAAAAAAACTCCAATTTATAATAAGAAATGGAATTCTCCACTAACATGTGCTATTTTTTAGAGCACTTTAGCTCAACAAAATTTAGCTATACAATTTTTTTTATTTTCATATTGTCGTATTTTTGTCCAAACAATAATTGCAAGTTCCAGCTTGTAAGTTATCATAAGAAATGCCATTAAAATTGAATACGCAGACACACTGTCAAATGCAATTAAAAAAAAATATTATGGGGTGTGCTATTTCCATGATCACCATTATATATTTGTCAATGTTTGTTTCATAAAATTTACATACAATTGTCAATATTTTTTATTTGTATCATTCAATTTCTATAGACAAAGTATGGTTGGGATGATAATGGCTGCTCCAACTCTGAAGAACTAAGTGCAGTTTTGAGCAGTACAATCATGATTAGGTATTTGTTATTATTATTTTTTGTTTATTAAAATTTTTATATATAATGTTTATAATGATAGTTATTATTTGTATTTGAAGAAAACTTTACTATAAAAATGTCAAATTTATAATTAAAACATATTTTTTATTAAAATAAAATTAAGCAAGTATCAAAATAGCAATATAATGGAAAAAAATTGCTTTTTTTGTTAAAATTATTGTCATTCCAAATATTAGGAAGCTTATGTATGAATGTAAGTTAAGTTATTCTTTGTGTATTGTATTAACACATAATATAGTAAATAAAAATAAGTAACTAAAAATTTGAAATCAATATTTTTATTTTTATAGGCGGATGAAGTCAGAAGTCTTAAATCAGCTTCCTGAAAAACAGCGACAAATTGTAATATATATATTTTTGTATATATATTATAAAAACATATATATTTTGTATATATATTATAAAAACATATCTTTTATATATTATTTTTGTATATATATTGTAAAAACAGAGATTAGTTGTCATTTTTTTTTTTGATAACTGTTTTTTTGATAACTGTTGACATTAAAAAGAAAATTAAAAACAATCATGATAACAAAAATTGATAAAATTTTCAAAAACAAAAATGAATAACAAAAGGAAAAAAACAATTTTTTTTTGTCATTTTGTCATTTGTATATCATGCGTTGTTTTAAAATTAATATTACAATTTTATTTCTATATAATGATAATCTAAAGTGTTTAATTTTGTAATATAGATTATTTTGGATCCTTCTTTTGTTGAATGCTCAAAAAAGTTGCAAAATTCTTGTCAATATTTTGTCACTTCCCAAAAGGTAAGTAGTTACCTATTAATTATATTTAAGAAATTCTATGTAAAATTATTTTTATCTTGATAGATATTGATAGCAATGATATGCAATTGATGATAGATTTCACAAAACAAAACATATACTTAAATTAAAGTTTCCTAGAAAATTGTTATTTGATAGTTTTAAATTCATTGTTTAAGATAAAGCAAATACTATATTTTAAAAAATGAAATAAATGTTAATAAAAAAAATTTTTTATGCATAATAATTCTAATGTCATTTTTACTATTATCAACATTCTTTTTAACTTTTTTTTTTACTTTTTACATTTTTCTTTTCTTTTTATTTTTTACTTTACTGTTTTTCTTAATGTTCTTGTAGCCATTTGTTTAATATTTGCACTTTTTTCATATGAAAAGATTTATATTTTTTAAAATATAATTTAAATAAAATACTGTATTTTAAAGTATTATAAATAAATTAAAATACTTTAAAATGTAATTTAAATTTCTTTACTGTTTTTCTTAGAAAGATAAGCGTACAGCTTTACTTGCATATTACGAAGATACTTCTTCTGCTAAATTAAATGGAGTTTGGTAAGTTAAAATCAAGTTTTATATTTTTATAAAATTCTAATCAATAAAATTGACTTATTTTTAAAGCAATATTAGGACATGCAGTTCCTGTAAAATGTCTTTGAATCTAAGAATTTTGGGATTAAAGGTTGTCAAATGTTGGTTCCTGTGAATAATTCTCAGACTATTTACACAAAACATTTATTTAATAAATATGGCTATAAATAGAAAAAACTTATGGAAGAACATAATAAAATTTGTTTTACAAACAATAACATTGTTTCAGGAAGCACAGTTAACTAAATGAACACACCAAAGTGAACACAAGAAGTGAACACACAGCTAAATAAATGAAAACACAGAAGTGTTTTGTGAAGTTTCATGAAGAGTTCTTCATGAAATATTCAAGTATCATGGAAGAGCATTAAGTAAGAATTTAATAAATAAAATGAGAAACTTAATAAGTGGATATTGTTTTAAAAAAATCTTAAATGTCTTAGAATAAACTTAATGTTTGCACTTATAAAGTATTGAATTAAAAATATATAGTTGAATTAAAAATTTTGCTTGTTCTTGATATCTTTTAGTTTGTTAATAAATTATAGATGAAATTAATAACAACGTCTGCTGTTAATAAGTTACCATCACAATGATAAACTTCACAGTAACACACAGGAACTATAGATCTAATATTTATCTAATGTTATTACTTCATTATCATACATAACTATTGACTTACCTAGGATTGGATTAATTCTTTTTGTATCCAGTTTTTTACTTTGGAAAATTGTTTAGGCATTGAGATAATGGTACTTTATTTTGTCTTTCAGTTTATTGAAATGGATATTTGATTGTTAAATATTTTTTTATCATTTTTCTTATATAATTTTTTTTTATGTTTTTATCTATTTTATCATCCATAATGATTTTCATGTAGTTTTTCTGAATTTCTTCTTCTTAAACAATTCATTGTTAAAAAATTTATGTTCTGGTGGGTTTGTAGTGAAACTCTTAATAAAAGCCTTTAATTACTGCAAGTTGTGTATCATGTGTATGAAGTTGTGTATTATTGTGCCAATTTTGTAATGCAGGTTTATATATTTTTTGTTTTCCAAAACAAAAAGTATTTTGTTAGAGTTTAAGATTTCTTTGTTAATGGATCATTTGATTAAATAGATCAGATAGTATTGGTAAAGGTACTTTTGACTTTCTGACTAATTTTATGCTTATATTTATATTATAAAATGTTGTGTTATATATTATATATTATTATATTTTTTGTTGTTTTATAAAGTTGTCATTTAGTTTTAAAAATAAATAAGTTTTATTATTATTACTAATATTTCACTTATTATATTAATATTTATGATAGATTGTCAATTTTATCAAATTTATATATACACTACCGGCAATTAATTTGAGACCATTTTCGTTTATGTTTTTTTTTATATTTTCGTTTATGTTTTTTTTTATCTCAGTGAATAAAGAAACTACAAATTAGTTCATGAAATATACTTTATTTAGTTTTCTTCACAAATATTTCTAAACAAATAGAAAACTTAACAAACATTAAAAAGTTAAATTATAAGGTCTTTATTATTTTGCACAAGTTTTAAACTTTGCGTTCATCAAAATAACCACCACGTTTCTTCATTACTGCTTCACATATTTTTGGCATACGAAAGATTAATTTGTTTAAAGTTGGTTACAAATCTCCAAGCCTTTTGCAGTAACTCCCATAAATGTTCCTTAGATTTTACTTGGAATTTCTTTTCATATCGGTCTATTTCATCCCAAAGAAGCTCAATAAAATTAAGGTCTGGTGACTGTGCAGGCTAGTCTATTAAAGTAAGGGTTTTTTCTTGAACTAGTTGATTCAGGTATTTTGTACAAAGTTTAGATTTGTGCTTTGGGTCATTATTTTACATAAAAACAGGTTGTTATTTTTCAAACCACCATTCGATGAGCAGATGGAACGGCATGATTCTCCTAAATTTCTCTGTATTGCTCCTTTTTCATAATTCCAATTCTGATCAAATTTCCTATTTTGTGACCTGCAAAACAACCCTATACCATTATAGAGGAATCTATGCTTAACAGTAAGCACATTGCACTGCGGAATGTAACGTTCATTCTGGTGCCGGCATACAAATATTCTTCTCTTGTTGCCAAATAATTCAAACTTGGACTTATTGCTCCATACTACTGTTTTCCATTGACTTATTGTCCAGTTGGCATGTTTGTGAGCCCATTGTAGTCATTTCACCTTGTTTGCTTTCCTTAGCAACGGATTTTTAGCAGCTACACACCCTCTAAGTCCTGCTTTTATCAAACGGTTTCTTATTGTCTGGACTCAAACAAGTTTTTCAGCAATTTCATTGTATTCTCTCGTTATTTGTGGAGCTGTTAATTTTCTGTTTGACATAGATAATCTTGTAATACGACGATCACCATGTTCATCTATCTTTCTAGGCTGTCTAGGTCGTGGTAAGTCGCTATATTGACAAGTTTCCTTGAAATGCTTAATTGTATTGTGAACTCCAGTCTTTGATTTTTTCATTCTTTTAAGAATTTTTTTTATCTGAAACACCTTCATCAAGTAAAACAATGCAAACTCTCTGTTCAAAGCTTAATTCTCGAACTGGAGCCATTTTAGTACGACAAAATAGAAACTAAAAAAAAATAAACAGTTCAAATAATACAATATTTGTATATTCATTTGCAAGTCATTATATACTATATTGGATCTATATAAAGTATCTACAAGAAGCTATCAATGAGAAAAATTATATTTTCAATATCAATTACAAGTCATTAATCAAAATTAAGTAACAGTTAAAAATAATACTTGTATTGTCTTTTATGCTGGAAGAGCTCAGCACTTTTGTATACTTTTGTATATAAATAAATTTTTGGGTGCAAAAATGCCCATATCTTATTTTATCCACTTATTTATTGTGTTCTATTTATTTTTGATCCAAAAATAAAAAGTGCAAATATGATAATCAGATATATTTATTTTTGAAATGTAAATACTGTTTTTAACTGCTGGTCTCAAATTAATTGCCGGTAGTGTATGTGTAAAGTGATTTATAATGATAACATTATTTAATCTTCTGCAAGTTTCTCAAGTTTTTTGACTTAGGTTGTTAGAAAAGTTCGTAGAATTTGATTAAATATTTATATATCAGCTTAAACTGTATTTAATTATGAACATTTTAAGTACTTGTTAAAATATTTTGTATGTGTTTATTAAAAAATTTTTTTGAAGTTTATTAAACATGTTTAAAAGAAAAATTTAGAAATGAAAAAATTTGAGCTCTTCTCAGAATTTCAATACAAGTTATAACCAATGAATTGGTTTTAGTTTCTGGTGACCAAGCAACAAAATATAGTATGGTGGGCTACTTTATTTAAAGATGTTAGAGAAATAATCCTTGCTCAAGGCACCTTCAAAACACGTATACAGCTGAGAATATTGAACATGTGTGAGACATGAGTGACAAAAATACTCGAGTAACACATGCTATAATTGAAGCCATGACATTGATTAATCGTTTTACAATCAATGAAATCATCACAGTGCTCTTAAAAAAATAAAAATGACATCACATTGGATACTTTACCATCAAAATCATTAAAATAGAGTTAAGGCATGTAAGGAAAATTTTTCATAAGCGGCTCATGGAGGTAGTGCGATATTATTACACTGGATGAATTGTGGTTTTATTTGAGACAAGCTGGACACAACTTAGACTTAACAGACTTAGATCCATCCGATTATTGGCTGTTCAACTTAATAACAAAAATCTTGAAGACGACACTGATGCTGAAGTCTAAAGTCAAAATAACCGCATAACGAAACTACTTCAAAGTAAACTCAAAAAAAAATGTTTGACAAATGGTTTGAACGGATGCAAATTTTTATAGATAATGATAGAAATTGTTTTAAACATTTAATAAAATAAAATTAAAAAATATGAATTATCCAGTCATTGAAATTGGCATTTCAATTGATTAGGTTAAATGCCTTTATTTTAAAATTTTAGGAATGCATGTCCTATGTAATATAAATTTTTATGTGTTAAATTTCTTAACCAATGTTTAATAAGAATACTTTCTTTAAATTTTAAATTTTCCAGTGAATTCATATCAGATAAACTTTTGATTGGTCAAAAGATTATTGTGTTCGCCCATCACATAAAGATGTTGGATGGAATTGAAGAAGTTGTTCGAAAAAAGGTTGTTCTTCAAATAATTTTTTTGTAGATATATTGGTATGGTAGAATAAAACTGTAGAAATAATGGTATGGTAGAATAAAACTGTAGAAATAATGGTATGGTAGAACTGTAAACTGTAGAAGTAATGTAGCGACTCGACAACAATATCAATTAAACTTTAAAATGTGATAGATTTATGATTGTTTAACATATACTTATTTAATATTTTGTGTATTTTTAATTTCTTGTGATATGACATTACTTTGCAAACTTTTTTTTCAGGAAATTTTTTATACGTTTGTATATTTAAATGTACAAACAATTAAAAATACAATTAAATATTTAAATAGTATTTAAATATTTAATTGTCTTACTATAAACAATAAAAATAATAAAAGAATCGGTCACCACAGAAATTGTGATGAACCCATCAACACAGAAATTGTGGTGAATCCAACAATACAGAAATAACTCATAGCTTTACTAATCATTAATTTTTACTTCATGGCTTCAGTTAATCAAATCATCAAACTAATTGTTAAACTCTATTAAATAGCCCACCTTTTCAGATTGTAAAAATCCTCGTAAAGATGAAATAATTATTGATGTAAATGTAAATTGTTTTCCTTTTCAAATAATTATGGATGATCTTCTACATACTATCTTCTACCATTATATTTGCAATATAAGGTGTTTTTTCTATTAAATTGATGATTGTCAGGTTATGGCAAGATAAAGTTGAGATAAGATAATGTTGTTTAAATTGTGTAAAATGAATAAAAATTAAAAGATAAATATAAATATTAAACTGAAAGTTTGCTTACAACTAGTATTGTTTAATTATCAGCTATGACAACAGCTTTTTTAGTTTGTTTTCTATTTTTTTTTTTTTTAATATTATTTGTTTTTTATGTGATTGCTTGTATTATTTTTTTAGTCAGAAATTTTTATCTATAAAATCTTTTTAGGATTTTTTAAGTCTTACTCTAAAAACATGGTTAACATTACAATAATTGTAATGCTAACCATGTTTTTACTGCTGGAGTAAGTTGAAAGACTATCTGTTAAATAAATTAGATTGAACATATGTTATACTTTTATGTGATCATAAAAGTCTGATTCTATGTGTTTTTTTTTAAGAATATTTGTTCAATTCGAATTGATGGATCTACAAACTCAAAGCAACGTCAAATTTTAGTAGATGATTTTACTAACAATAAAGAATGTTTAATTGCAATATTATCGTTGACAGCAGCTGGAACAGGTTAAATCTAAATTGATATTTATTTTAGAATTTTAGAGTTATATTTTAATATATATTTTGTATAAATATATATTAAAATATAATAATATATATTAAAAATATTTGTATAAATATTTTTTCTATAAAATATATATTTAATTATTTTTATATATTTAGATACTATATATATATATATATATATAATATATATATATATATATATATATATATATATATATATATATATATATATATATATATATATATATATATATATATATATATATATATATATATATGTTTAATAAAATTTAATTTTCAAAAATATGATATGCAGGTTTAAACATCAGTGTATCAAGCTGTGTTATTTTTGCTGAACTGTACTGGAACCCTGGAGTATGTTTTATTTTTTTATTCCAGACTTTTTTTTATTTTCAAACATTTGTTGACATTGAAATTTTTTTATACAGGTAAAATATTAATAGAGAACTAGCAATAAAAAGCCCATAATAAAATGTAAAATAAAAAAAAACTAATTAAATTTTAGCAACTTATTCAAGCTGAGGACCGTGCCTATCGTATAGGTCAGAAAAATGCTGTTTCTGTTATATATCTTGTTGCAAAAAACACCGCTGATGATTATATATGGTACATTTTTTACGGTTGATTTATTTCAGTCAATTTAGTTTATTTTAGTATAAATGAACTTTGATTTTTATTAAATAAAAAAAAATGTTTTAAGGCCGATTGTTCAAGAAAAGCTTCATATTCTTACTAATCTTGGTGTTGGATCAAGAGCTGGTTTACATGGACAAACATCTTCTTTTAAGGTTTTTCCTATTTTTATTATTCCTATTTTTATTATTTGTTTTATATATGTGTACATGTATATGTATATAAAAATGTATATACATATACAAACATACATACATACATACATACATACATACATACATACATACATACATACATACATACATACATACATACATACATACATACATACATACATACATACATACATACATACATACACACATACATGCATACATACATACATGCATACATACATACATACATACATACATACATACATACATACATACATACATACATACATACATAAATACATATATATATATATATATATATATATATATATATATATATATATATATATATATATATATATATACATGTATATACATATGTACGTGCATACATACATACATTTTTTACTGAAAGCGATGCTCATTTGTAATTTGATTTTTTTTTTTGAAATGATTATTTCACCGAATGATGACGTCTAAACTAATTGATTAACTACATAAAGCGCATTAAAATATTTTTTTTTTTAGTATATAAATAACCGCTAATGAGTAATAAGTTACAGCGTTAAGGAATCAGAGAACCATTGACCTGGGTAATTATCAATTAGATTGTCAAAAAATGTGAACTATTTTTGTTTTGTAAAAAAAATTTCTACATTTTCAGATTGTTCATTACCTATTCGACCGTACCAGTAAATTTTGAGGGGACCATTTTTGAAAAAAGGCAATTTAGAATACCAAATAAATATTGTTCTTGTTTATGTAACAAAGTTCTTAAATAATTTTGCAATTGATTAACTACATAAATCGCATTAAAATAATTTTTTTTTCAGATGTCCAGTTACTTAATGAAACACATACAGCCATAAAGTCTCCGGGAAACAAAAGAGAAAGTTATATTACAGTAAATGTTAGTTAAGTAAGTTTCAAAACAATTAGATAGGTGCCTAATGTAAAAGCAAATAACTAAGTGGAAGAAATGGTAGTAGTTGATCATGTCTATTCTCAGCAGTAAAAGTAGTACAGGTCAGATTAATCTCACTTTTATAGAGCTATATAAAGTTTGCAACAAGGACAAGTGATATTCAGTAAATAAAATAGAAATAGAATCAATAATTGTATATTAGTTGTACCCTATTTCAAGGTCACATATCTCGGATATTGGACTGCTAAAATGTTTATTAAATTTTGACTTTAAAATAATTTTTTCATTACAATAACAATAAATTGTTATTGTATTATAATGACGAATTACAATACATTATTTATTTTTTTTCAGATGTTGTTATTGTATTATGAAGATGAATTGCAATACAATATTTATTGTTATTGTATTGCAGTATTAAAATCAGGCTTGTGGAGCCGGAGCCGGGGAACCGCTGTTTTTTGGTGGAGCTGGAGCCGCAAAAATTTAGCGGCTCTCGGCTCTCGTGTTTTTTTTAGCGGAATAGAATGTATGTTTATTTTTTTACTGTAGACAAACTTTATTCATTTATTGTTTAACTAATTTGTTGAATGAATTATTTATTGAACTTCTATTTTTTGAAAATATTTTTTTCTAACAGTTACGGTTATGCCAAAACTTAATAAAAATGAATATTTTAACGATTTTGTGCTCAACAATATACTATCCTTTAATAAAACTTCTAAATATTCTTTATTAAAAAAAAAAAGGAAATTATAAATCAAAACATTACAGTGATGCACATATTGCTTTATATTATATTTTTATACTGATACTATGCTGTTAAATATTTAATGCGCGATTTAATGATCAAAGTTTATTGATATCTTTAAAATTAAACTAAAGCATACGATCATTTAATTTGGAACAATAAATTTCCTTTAAAACTTGTCACTAACACATTATTAAATTATTTTTTTCACGTAATTACATAAAGTAATTATGGTATTAATTAAAAGCATCAACAAACGAATCAAAATGTTGCTCTTAATTAAAATGTCATTAATATTTAGAAAAACGAAAAAAAAATCGGCAGAACTATTTAAAAAGTCCTTCTACATCTTTGATTTCAATTGCTAAGGCATCTGAATCTAGCAAAACTACTGTTTGCATTGTCATAAAACAATACAAGAGCTCTATCAAACAAGCAAAAGGATTTGGGTGAAAGAGTAGCTTTAAGGATAAGAAAACCCCAATTAGTATTTGAAGATCATTCACGCAAAACCCCTGACTTATCAAACAGAGTGCAAGCCAAAGGATATAAAGTTTCAGAGTTTTTTAAACATTAAAATTTGTCAAGCAATATGCAGCTGCAGTTTGAAATCTCGAGCTTTTGTCACATCATCAATTTTAAACTTGAATGTTTACATCAAAGAATACTTACAAGCTTGACTTTTGGAATTTTATTGAAGTCACAATGTCCCTTGTTGGTTCTGGCCTAATCTTGCTTCTTGTCATTATTCTAAGAAGAGTGACATCAAATTCATACCAAAAAGTTTGAATCCATCAATTTGCACACAGTTCTGTCCCATCGAGTAGTTGATGTCGTTAATAAGCGTAAATGTTTGCTTATTTATTTGAAATGATAAAAATATTGAAGTAAAAAGCACTTTTATAATCTTCAAGTTCCTTAGATTAAAATAAATATTTTTTGTAGTTTTTGCATTAGTTAAACTATTTTTCATTTTTTTTGAATTTTTTATCGTTTTTAATTTAACGATCGCATGCTTTACCCAGTGGCCATGGGACATACAAAAAAGGTCTTTTAATTGTCTTTGGAGTGTTTTCAACGTCTTTTAAACGTTTCAGACGACTTTTGAATGTTCAAAATACATCTTTTTTAGGTGGGGGCCCTCAGTGGGGGCATAAGAAAGACTTTTTTTAAACTTCTTTTGAACATTTGAGATGCATTTTGAACGTTTTGGACGTCTTTGGGACTTTCAAAAGACGTCTTTTTTAAGTACTGTGTCTCCTGGGTAGAATTAAAACTAAAATTTGAAACAAAAACTTTAGTTTTGGGTAAATAATATATAGAAAAAAGTGTTTATTTACCCAAAAAAATTTTCTTTTTAAATGTAATATCCTGAAGTAGTAATACAATAACCTTGTAATCATGAGAGTTGGTTAAAAATTAATTGCTGTAATTGGTATAGTTTTGGGTTGGCCAATGTGATTAAAAAAAAGTTTTAAAACTTGCAATTTTTGTTCATAAAGTTCAGGAGCCGAAGCGGAGCCGGAGCCAGGTATTTCTTAGGAGCCGGAGCCGTCAAAAAAACAGTTGACTCCACAAGCCTGATTAAAATAATTGTTAATCACAAATATTGTTGTTGTTTCTAAAAAAGGTTAATACAGCAAAAATAGTTATTGTTTCTGATATTGTTTTCATTACAATTACGATAGTCCTAACCCTAGTTCTAAGCAATCAAAAAGTGAAGATTTTTTGTCAAGACAAAAGTATAAAGTTGAGTCCTTAGCTAATAGGTACTTTAGATGTAAAATTTTTATGAAGATTGTTATTGCAGATAAGAAACATTACAGGAGCAAACTTTTACCCTTAAAGTTACTTATAATAAGTAACTTTAATAAAATAAAGTGGAGTGTAGGCCTTCAAGAAAAACTTTAATTCTGCAATTAGAAAGAAATAGTTTATTAATCTCAAACACTTTATATAAAGAAAGTAATAACGGAGTGAAGACTAATCGTAGGATAGTGAGAGAGGTCAAAGTGTTTTTTTAGAGTTTTGAAAAATTGGAACCACTTATTTAGCACTTTTTAAAAGTTTAGCAAAAATTGAAAAGAATTCTGGAGAGCACTTTTTTAAGGCTATGATGGAAATCTTGTATGGAGCACAAAGTGTAGAAGTGTTCAATTGAGAATTAACTTAGGCATTAGAAGCCATTATGATTTTATATTTAACAATGGGTTAATCTGTTTAAGTGGGAGAAAGAGTGTGGCCATTAGGTTCAAAAGTTGAATTAAAGTAAGATTTTTTTGCAAAAAACTCTTATTCTGAGAAGAAGTAAAAAACCCATGAATTAGAGACTACATGTTAGACTTACTTTAGTTAATGACACTGTTGAAGACTTACTTTAGTTAATGACACTGTTGAAGACTTACTTTAGTTAATGACACTGTTGAAGACTTACTTTAGTTAATGACACTGTTGAAGACTTACTTTAGTTAATGACACTGTTGAAGACTTACTTTAGTTAATGACACTGTTGAAGACTTACTTTAGTTAATGACACTGTTGAAGACTTACTTTAGTTAATGACACTGTTGAAGACTTACTTTAGTTAATGACACTGTTGAAGACTTACTTTAGTTAATGACACTGTTGAAGACTTACCAAAAGTCTCTAGATTCTAATATCTGAGATAAGAAACAAGATATAGTAAACTTAGAATAACAGAGCTTAACATCAGACAGGACATTTTTACATTCTTGTAATAATAAAAGGACATTTGTTTATAATGTATGATTTTTCTAAACAAATATGATACATATTTGTTTATAAGAAAGATCAAAAAAATGATTACTGTTTAATAAAGCAACTGCTCAAGATGGTAAAAAATACAAAGTAAAATGAGGCTTGACTTAATATTGAAGAGAAGGAATAGACGCTTCTAAGCTTTTATTCCAGAAGGAATAAAAGCTTTCAAGATGGGCTTTATGCATACATATTTTGGATAGTGGTAGAAGTAAGAAAACTTGAAGAGATTGCTTTATATATTGTATGAATGAGGTTTAGTTAAAGAAAGAAAATGCTCTAGATTATTTATATTAGAGAAACAGCATAAAAGAGGAAAGCTAAAGCCTGATGATGATGACGATGATGATGACGATGATGATGATAATAATGATGATCATAATGGTGTTTATATATGCATATGTATACAAAATATAACACGAGTTTTAATTTAAGAAAATATACTTCGCCCAAGCCCCGGCTTTATTTTATCAACTCTGGCCTCAGCCCTGGTCAAATATCAACCCTGATCATTTACTACACAGTAGGATGCTTTTTATTAACAATACTGTATCACTGCCAAGTTATAGTTACATCTTGAAAAGTTCTTTCCAAAATAATGCTCTTACAGGCCTATGCTGAACCATGATTTTTATTTACTGCTTACTCTGGCTTGGATTATTTTTACATTATTTAGATCATCACATTACTTTCAAGTTAGAAAAGTATTATTGTGAGTTAGAGAAAAAGAAAATGTTAACAGTAGAAATTAAAAAACAATTTTAAAATGGTTGACAGAACAAATTAAAAAACGCAATTTATTTACACATGGTCATAAATTATGACTATAACAACAATTATAACTTTATTAGTTCAACCATCAGTTAAAGTTAAATTAATATGCTTCATAAGTATTGTTTAACTAATAAAACTTGAGTTTACTTTTAATGCAGTAATAAAACACTCAACCCACAATAAATAGTTTTGATTTCAAATCTATTTTACGCCTCCGCAAGTATGGTGCTCAACCTGTTTTCCTGTGCAGCGACAAAGGAAAATTTTTTTAAAATGGTAATTGTATTTTAGAGTTTAGGGAGAGTTGCAAATAAAATAATAAAAAAATTTTCCTTGACTGTAGTATTTCACTAGAGCTTTAGTGAGGTGAGTGTAGTGTTTCTCTGGAGCTTTAGTGAGGTGACTGTAGTGTTTCTTTGGAGCTTTAGGGAGGTGAGTGTAGTGTTTCTCTGGAGCTTAAGAGAGGTGAGTTTAGAATAAAATAGAAAAAATGTTCTGCAAAGTAGAAGGGTTTTTAAACATAATGCTTTGATATATGCTAAAGTATTTTTTAAAGTCAGCAGCATCTGAAAAGACGCCAAAAAAGATTTAAAGTCTGGTTAATCTTCGTATGTGTGTTCAAATCTACGTTTAAATGAAGTTAATTTTTTTTTAAATAATCAAGATTTTCAACTTCAAGATTTCAAATAAACCATTTATTTTTTCAGAGAGGAAACTTAAGTTACAATCTTTTAAGTCGTCTGTTAATCGTTATCTTGCTCTATAAAATATTTCATCTTTTCTCTTCCAGTAACTTCCAACTCTAATAATAATTGTTTGTAGCCTTGTTGAAAGTAAAGATGTTTAAAAAAAAAATTAAAATGCGCTTTGTTCATTCTAAAAAAAGTTAATCAATTAGATCTGTTGTTGTGTGGTTTTTCTTAAAAAATAAGAGTGCCGAAAACACCCACTAAAAGCTATTAATATTTCAACTTGTTTTGCAATGAAAAGAAGCTAAATCCTATAGCTCTAAAAGCTATAACCCTAAAGCTCCTACTATATAATATTAGAACTTATATTTGTTACAATGGTTGATAAAAAAATTATTCCGAAGTTTTGTTTTAAACATAATCATAAAAAGGACACTAAAGAATTTAATAGTCGCTTCAATAACACGCTTTATAAATACAAAAGGTTAAACTGATTAAGTAAGAAATATTTTCTAACAAAAATACACGATTGTTATAATAGACGTAAATGCACATATAAATTTTTTTTGTATAAGTATATTATGCAAAATTTTTTTTTTTTCGTCCTGCTTCAGTAAGAAATTACTTTTATCTCACTACATTTCATTTGACTGTATTTAACTTGGTAGGCTCGATATATTTATTTCGTCGCTACTTCTGTAGGTTCTTTATTCGATATTTAACTTTCTGGGCTTGATATTTTATTTATTTCGTAGCTGCTTCAATATGTTCTGTATTCGATATTTGATTGGTAGGCTCGATATTTTATTAATTTTTAAAAGGCACAGTTAAAAGTACTTTAAAATGCTTGGCTAAAAATAACCTAAAAGTTACAGTTTTACATTTTCAAAAATATATAACCAAAAAAGTTAAAATTTTTGTCGATGCTACTTTCTTTAACTTTTCCTTACTTCAATATTTTATATCACTCTCAATCTATTATCAATCTAAAATTTGCATTTCAAGCACCAATAAGTAAGAGTTATATATTTAGGATAGTCGGCAGCGCCAGATTGAAGATTTTTTTAACGAAATGTTACAAGACTGCGATGATATATTTCTTGAGAACGATTGTATATCAAGTAAAGATGGTGAAGAGTCTTGTTCGAAAAGAATGAAGATGTCGTAAATGAGCCAACTTGATTTTTGCTGCTCCTGGTTTCTCATTTTTGTTTAAAAATATTTTTTATTTTCCTTCTCAAAGCTTTGTTGATGGTATTTATGAAATTTTTGTTTTGCTTTTTTTTTTATTAGTTATAATCATATATATATATATATATCTATTTCTTTACTATATTTTACATATTTATATTTATGAATATATTCACATATTCAATACAAGCGATTTTTACAAATATAAAAGTATTCTAACAAAGAAATTGCTTGCGAGGTAACACGACACTTTGATTTGATTACTTTTAAAGGTTTCCATTATTTTATAAATAAAGTATTATGTTAATAAATTTGTGTTTTCAGATTAAAATTAAAGCGTTCAAATTCAAGTGTCAAAGTTACGTATTAAAGTTTAAACCAAGTTACAGTTTAAATCCTATTTATATGTAATCGATTATTTTTTTTACGAATTGACTAAAACTCAATCGGAAATAAAAATGATCTCGATTGCATTTTATTTTGTTTTAAGATCTTACTTTGGTATCATTTCTTATTATTTGTTTATCAATATAAACTGTATAACGGCGCCATTTATAATTCTATACCAGATTGATAATATTTTGCGACGACTATGTATTATTTTGATATATTTAGCTATAATCAGTTAATTCCCAAAACTCTTTTTTTAAAGATCTAAAGTTTTGTGAAGATAGTTAGCTCTTTTTCTTTCTGCGTCGCTTCTTTTACATGATGGAAAGTTTCCATACCAACTCTCTTTTAAATATTTTTGCCAATATTTTGTAGGTTTTCGGGCCATGTCATCTATATCATCTTCATTCCTTTTTTGTCTCTCATTTAGTGGAAAAGGTTCGTATTTAATTTTTGTACAACGAGGTAAGTTATCAGCATTTATATATTGTTTAGGGGTGTAACCGCAACCCATCATTTTTGTTTCATTTCTTTGTAAGAAATGGACAAACTTGTGTTTTGAACTTTTTGATTGCCACGTGTACCAAATCTTATCTAGGAAAGCATGATGCAAGAAAAATTCAGGTGCGTTAGCTGCATAATGAGTACTCATAGTACCACCAATAATGTTGTGCATTCTATCGTGATAGTTGTGACGAATCTGAATATCAAAATCTTCAAACCGATGCGGTGGCAGAGCAAGTGTTCGTAAAACACTTTTCCTACTTGGAGATTTCCCTTTAAAACCTCTCCTTAAACAGTACGCTAAATGGGCGTATTGACCTTCTATTTCACCATATATTTGGTCAGCAGAACTCATTATAATTTCCATGGGATCTTCCCAGTATGGTGTTTCCCATTTTGACTCTCTGAACATTCCACTCTGAACACAATAGCCTTTACGGCGGTTTCCGTTCCCACCTAATAAAAACAGTATTCAATTAACCTTTTTTAACTATTTCACTAATTAATAATAATTATAATAATTAATTAAATTAACATTAATTAATAATAGTCGAATAAAATATTTTGAATACCTAACCCATCGTCAGTCGATCTCCATATTGTTGTTCTGTTCCACGGATCTTCACTAACATAAGACCAATCCCAGTACGATAACGTAACTCGGCAATCGATTTGTGCTAGTAAATCTTCCATTGTGGTTATAAACCAACGATGCCATGGGAGAAACAGGTCTTTTTTATGAACACCCCAGCAAAAGTACTTAAAGTGCATAAAAATAAAGCGCTCGTATATAGATTTATACGGCTGCTGGCTTGTGAGTGTTTTGTAAGCCTTTAAGTATCTTTTTCTCTCTTTGGTTGTCATAGATGTGAATTCTTTTCTCACACGATAGCAATCTTTAATTTTTTTATTTTTGCATGTACATTGTCTCTTACATTCGTCTGTAAAGGGTCCATCATTTTGACACACTCCATAGTGCGTGTTGTTGACATTAAGCACGCCTAGTATTTTGGGTATATCGAGTTTGTTATAGTATGATATAGTCTTAAATCTTAAACTTTCGAAGTCAAAAAACGTGTCTTTAGCTATTAAAACTGCTCCAAAAAAATCATTTTCAGAAAGTTTAATTTTCAAACTTTTTTCAATAAGTTTTATTTCGTCGGGAGCATTTGTAACAAATAGGTAAATACGTCTTTGGTTAATTACATCTCTACTCTGAGCTTCAAAATCTTCGAACACCGCAGTCAGCATTAATTGAAAGTCGTCAGTTTTATCTTCTTCAGAAAAGTCAACTTTTTTCAAAGCCTTATAAACGCATTCGCGGTTGACGTGAGTTTTAAAACGGAAATTTTTAGTTACAAGTGCGTCCACTGTGTACAAAGCAACTCTTGTTGTACCAGGCGAAATGCTGAAGTGTTCGAGTAGTTGCTCTACAAAATGAATTGCTCTTTTTCCGTCATCGGCATTCATGCTTGTATCAATTACAAATCCGAGGTCTATTCTAGGTGGCCGTTTGCACGAATCTTCATGAAATAATATTGCAATCCATATTATTTTTATTAAAAACGCACTTCGAAACATCTTTTATGCATACGCATTTACTCATTACATTGTCGCATCTTTAAGAAATGTCCGTTTTGAAAATAGTATCATTTGTTGTTGCTGTTTTCTTGTCTCCTAGACGATGTTTTACAAAGAGCCGAGGGTTTTGTATTTGTTGGCTTTACGCGCATTTTTGAATAATTAATTTTTTGTTTCAGCTTTAATACGCTTCAGTAACTTTATTTATAAAGTAAAAAACATAAGTAAATTTGAGATTTAAATTTATGACCAAAAGTTGTTAGTCTTGCGCAATCTTCTGTACAAATAAGATTTTACTAATATTAAATTAAAAATCAAAATACAATACGTGTCTAATAACGTTTGCTTGTTTTGTGTAGCTTTTTTTTTTTTTTCATCCAGAATTTTAGTTTTTCCTTCTGCTTTTTAGATTAAAAAAAAAGTATAAAATATGTCTAAAGTAAAGGTTGGAATCATTGGTGGAACCGGTTTAGACGATCCTCAGCTACTATTGAGTAAATCAGAGATTGATGTAGATACTCCATACGGAAAGCCATCTTCACTTTTAACGGTTGGAGAGTTAAATGGTGTACCTGTTGTTTTAATTTCTAGACACGGTAAAAATCATAGCATCGCTCCGTCTCAAATCAACTATCGTGCAAATATATGGGCACTTAAAGAAATTGGCTGTACTCACATTCTTGCTACGAACGCATGTGGCTCCCTTAAGGAAAATTACAAAATTGGTGATTTGATTATTTTGGACCAATTTATAGACAGAACATTCAAAAGAGAAAGCACTTTCTATTCTGGTTTACCCAATGATTTACCTGGAGTGCAACATATTCCTATGGGAGAACCATTTTGTGAATATACCCGTAATGTGTTGATTGAAGCTACAAAATCTTGCGGATTTGACATGCACGAACGTGGGAATATTGTTATAATCGAGGGACCCAGATTTTCCACTCGAGCAGAAAGTAAAATGTTTCAGTTATGGGGGGGTGATTTAGTCGGCATGACAACAGTTCCAGAGGTTTGCCTGGCAAAGGAAGTCGGTATTAGTTATTCTAGTATTGCGATGGTAACGGACTATGACGCTTGGCGGGATGGCGACCACGTGACAGTTGAGCAGGTAGCTAAAGTTTTGCATGAAAATGCAGAAAAAGCAAAAAATGTTTTGCTTACAGCCATTACTCTCATAGGTAAAAAAAATTGGGATGAAGTTATAGAAAAAAACAAATTGTGTTCAAGAATGGCTGTTATGTAAAAAATGGCTAATGTTCAAGAATTGCTGTTCCGTAAAAAAAACCAATTGCACATATACTGGTTCGTAAATGCTTAGATTATTTATGGTTTTAATTGATTGTTATTACTTAAGTTTTATTCGTAAATGATTATTTAAATGATCGAATAAATCCCGGATATTTGTGAAAAATCCGTTTTAAAAATTTTATTGAAGTGATGGAATAATCTGAAACGGTAAGCATATTAGTTTTTAGTGAAAATCCCAAAATGATTAAATAAGACAAACATAACATAATTGCGGTTGATAAACCTCAAAAATTACTAAAAATTTATTTTAGCTCATGAGTTACATAAATCTTTGTAAAAACATTTTGTAGTGTAATACTGTCCCCCGTTCTAAGTCCAATAGTGCAATTTTTATATTGGAGGCCCGTCTTGGGGTTGAGATGAAACTTATTCAAGAATGAAAATGGGAACTTATTCGATGATTTAACTGTTTTTAAATTTTATTTGTAATATTAAAAATTTAATATCTAAAATAATAGTTTTTAATGTAAATGTTTTATTTTTTCCAATTTTTTATTCTCATTTTTTTAGTTTTATTGCTTTGATTGATTTTTTTTGTTTAATACAAATTTAGTTAGTTTTAAAATTCACTTATAAACTAAGAACCATTTCACATTAATAAGTAAACAATACATTAGAAAAAGTTATTAAAAAATAAATGTTATTTTTTATAATTTTTAGGAAAGTTAATTTATAATTTAAGTTTTGGTATTAAAGAAAAATAAAATTTGGACATTTTAAGAAAACAGTGATTCAGAGTACTTATGTTTGTATTTTTTAGTGTTGCGTTGTGGATTAACTACCCAATACATTAACGCCCAGTTTCGACATTTTGACTCTGGTCCATCTGCTTCATAACAGTTTAAGTCTTAGTAATTATAACCACCAAATTTCTGGCTTCGTTATGTAGGTCTAATCAACATTTATCAGGCAATTTTAATAGGCAAATTCTAAAATAGATTTTTTATTCAAAATGGTGCATACATTTAAAAAAAGTTTTTATCGAAAACCACGAACTTCAGAAAAAAGGTATTAATAACGGGGTCTAGCACATAAAAAATATTTTATCTGGAAGAAAAATTACCAGATAAATAGGTTCAATTAGTTTTAGGACGGAATGATGCTTTTTTTTTTTTTTGAAATAAGCAACATGGGTAATATGTCTATAGTCTAAATGTCAATGTGTTTCTGTGCCGTTAAGAATTTAATGCTTATGCAACAATAAACTCTCTTAAAATAAAACAGTATAAATTAGAAGTCTGACTATGTTTCTGGAGTGATGTTGCTATGGATTCCTTTAGATGATCATTAAAGATGTAATGGTTTTCAATTAAAACTAGTAGATGACATTAATTTGTTATTATATAAACAAGTCGTTTTTGAAAGATAATGAATCTTTAATATATAACACAAAATATTTTGGATAATTTTTTATTAAGTAGGGAGTAGAGGGTATAGTTTCCCTCAATGCACACACATGCATGGGGGCCCGCAGGATTTTTTGATGTTCTAGATAGAGCACTTTCACAAATTGTGCAAACTCCAAACTTAAGTATGTTTATACCTATGCCAAATGAGGAGGCCTTGCAAAAAGTTAAGAAGGCGGAGATCTGGAAGCAAAATAGCCTAACTTGTGCTAGCTCCAAACTTAAGTATACCTATGCCAAATGTGTGAAAGTGTCTTATCTAGAACATCAAAAAGCCCTGCGGGTGCCAATGCTAACATGCCACCCCTTATATACTGGCCCTGAGTAAGGCGTATTTTAGGCAAACTATTTTTTGAGTCAAAAAAAAACAGGTTTTAGCAGTGCCCTGGTTAATGGGTCGGAGGCCCCCCAAAAAAACGTATCATTTGAGTCTCAAAATCTCCCAAATTTTACCGCTAGGTTTTGCTAAAATTATAAGCTCCTTAAGTTAGCAAAAGGGCAAAAAAATTTATGTCCCCTCTCCCCCCCTCCTTTACACTCAAGTTAAAGGGTACGGGTAGCCTATCCTCGGCACTGGGTTTTAGGCTTTGTTTTCGATATTACTGATCTCGCGTAGGACTCGATTTTTACGGACTAACTAAATAGAAAAGACCTCCGCCTGAAGTATAGTTTATTTTATTTAATTCGTCATTAAAACAAAAAAAGACCGTCGACACAGTCTACAGCATCAACCGCTCAACCTAGCGAACACATTGTTAACGAGTAATTTAACTTTATTAAAATTTATATTTGCATATATATTTAAAGATGTATTTTTAATTGGAATTCTGCGCCGCAAACAAAGAGCTTTTGGGTCGTATAAAGTATCTAAGGTACCTCATCCACCATATTTTTTCCATAAATTTTTTCATTGAAAAAAAAGTTTGAAAGGGGGGGGGGGGGGATATTTCAAAAACGATTTTTTTTAAAGGGTGGGGGGGGGACTTTAAAGTTCGCATAGCAACAGGGGGAGGTAGGGGGGCAAATTTCAAAATTTTTAGCGCACGTACTTTATGGACGACCTATTACTTGATAAAAACTAAGTGTTTTTATCAAATAAATATTTTTATCGTTAAAAGACTTATTTTAACTAATTTCTTTAGAATGCAACGAATTATTATAACAAAAACCAACATGTTGCGCACATTGTGCAGTTTATTTTTTACATCTAAACACTATTAATTAAGCTCACTGATACGAGACAAACTACTGTACGCCTCACTTTCAGACAATGCAAGCAAGAAAAAATATGCTATATGAAAATATCAGAACCTGCTGAAGATTTAAGGCAGGTTGCAAGAAAATAAAGACAGTTTTTACCTACTAGGCCTTCTACTAAATTTGGTTTTCAACCACTGGAGAAACAATTATAAGATTTTATTGCCTTAACATTAACAAACAAATCAGTAAGAAACTATATCGGTTAGAAAAATATTTTCTTACAACATTGTACTCAAGCATACGACATTGTTTTAGCACCATCAAGATCAACTACAAGATTTAGCATCATCAAGACAAAATATAGGGTTGGCTTCTGTTGCTTCTGACTAAAGTTATCTTTAATGCTCAAACAAGTCTTAAAGTGTAAATAATATTTGCGACAACACTTTACATTCACAGAGAAGCAAATTAGAAACAAAATCAACTTAAAGAACAAGTATCAATCCTTAAAAGAACTTAGGAGCTTTCTTGAAGAAATCAGAAAGCAAGTCGACAACTTACTAAATAAAAGCAGCACCTTATTACATATTTATGTGGTCTACATCTTTAACGCAATGAAAACCGATCTTAAGTGTGATAAGGAGGCCCGAAAAAAACACTCAATTCTTTAGGCACTGCTTCAAGAGGGACATGGTCAAGATGACAGGTATTGATAACGCATTTCAGAATAATGCTATTAAAACTGATGTGAAATTAATAATTATGAGAGATAATGCAATAATAGCAATCACAAGATAAAAACCTTCGAAAGTACGAGGAATAATAGAAAAAAACTGGAAGACAGAGTGTTTTAAATTTTCTGGTATAGTGACAAAGTAATAAAGCTTTTACTCCTATAAAAATCAAGACAATTTTATAAGGCTGAACATGAATGAATTTCTTTGTAACTTGATCCTAATCACAGGATAAAACAAGGTATGGTATTAGTGTATAACTTTGAGCCATTTTGTTGAAATCTCAATAAAGAGCCAGTAAAATTAACCTTTATGAGCTAAAGATTTCACAAGTTTAGTGTTGAAAGTTAAAAGTTTGCTTTGTTGACAATAGGTTGAAAGTTGTTTGAAAGTTATTTTGGAAGTTGTTGCATTGTTGCGACCTATTTCTTAAAGTTTGAAACTTGAAAGATTTGGAGATTGAAAGTTTGTTATTGTCTTTTTATTTATTTTTATTTTTTTTAAGTTTTTTTCTTTTTTTTTTCTTTTAAACTTGTATAAGTGAAAGTTGCTTTTAAAGTTGTTGCCGGATGTAAAAGGTGATTTGAATTTCGATTTGAAGGTGAGTCGTTATCCGGCCGGCGCGATAGTGACACCTACTCGCGCCGGCCCTGGGAACTATTTTAACTTTTTTCTAGACTTAATTAATGACCAAAATTTTTACCACACGGAGCATATTATAATGGAAAGTATTCTCTGTAACTGCTCAAACAAGATATGCTCACCATGTTTAGCTGAGTTTGTTTTTACATTTATGCTTTGTCTAAATATTTATTGAAACTGACGTTTTCCAATAGTGAAAGCTTTATAAAGTTTTATTTAAAATCTATAGATATAAATAAACCAGATTTGATTTGATATTATTTGAAAAAATGTTGAGCCTAGATTTTTAGTGGTTTAAAAACAAAATTTTATGAGTTTCAATTGAAGTCTGGACTCTAATTAGAGCCCTTAAAAATTTTAATTACATAAAAAATATAGTTTTCGTAATTACATAAAAAATGCATGTAATTAGAGACTCGAAATTAGAGTCAATACACAATATTAATAAATACCTTATTAATCTTATTAAACTATTTTAGGACAAAAGTAATTAAATTTTTTTATAATAACCTTATCATAGTTTTAAACATGCTTACATTTATTTGCCTTAAAAAATATGATTGCAATGCGTATTTAATAAAATGGAGTGTCTATTTGCACGTTCAGTGCGAATAGACTATAGGCCGGGTGAATAAAAAAAGCAATTTCTCTCAAGCAATTGCTTTGAGTAAAAGTAAAAGCTAAAAAGCAAACGCTCACAGCAAAAGCAATTGCTCAAAAATACGTAAATAAAGTTTTGCTTTTTTTCATTAAGGTGATTTTCCACTTTTGCTCGGACAAAGAAAATCTTTTATTACGCATGCTCACGTAATTATTTTTTCCTTTCCTATCCCGTTCCCGTAGAAAAACGGATGAGTGGAAACTCGCCTTTCAGCAATTGATTCTGCCGAGGAGTAAATGCTTTATGCCGCTACTAAGAGAAATCGTTTGTTTTTATTTTTTGTTTAAAAATGGCTGCTTTTAGTGTAAATCAGAATGATATTAATAATAACTAAAATAATTCTAACGATAACATATGCGAAGATAAAATATAAATGCCAGGGCATATATGTGTATATAAATATAAATATAAATATAAATATATATATATATATATATATATATATATATATATATATATATATATATATATATTTATATATATATATATATATATATATATATATATATATATATATATATATATATATATATTGAAGCTTTTTTATTCACGCATTTTTCTTTTATATGAGGAGTTGCTTAGAGCAAAAGCTAAGCTTAAAAAATAAGCAATTACTTAAATTCGAACGTGTTTGACACAAAACCCTTGTCAGTCATTGCAGCCGTGGTAGTGGCAAGACAGAGTCGCAGTATTTTTATTATAAGAAAACGTGAACGAAAGTGTATGCAAATATCTTACGTAACTTCAAACCTTGTAATTTTACAACATACTTAAATATGTATCAAGTTTTACAGTTTGATTTTCATTTGAAAATTGATTTCCGTCAAC